GCGCAGCGGCAGCGGCTACTGCGGTGGAAGGACCCAGCCCTGCAGGAGGGCCACAGGTGCGCCGCAGGAGGGCACCCTGGCTGCCGCGGCTTGCCCCAGGGTCGAGGAATAGGAGGAGGAGGAGGAGGAGGAGGAGGAGGAGGAGGAGGAGGAGGAGGAGGAGGAGGAGGAGGAGGAGGAGGAGGAGGAGGAGGAGGAGGAGGAGGAGGAGGAGGAGGAGGAGGAGGAGGAGGAGGAGGAGGAGGAGGAGGAGGGAGGAGGAGGAGGAGGAGGAGGAGGAGGAGGAGGAGGAGGAGGAGGAGGAGGAGGAGGAAGAAGAAGAAGAAGAAAGAAGAAAGAAGAAGAAGAAGAATGATAATATAAGAATAATAAGAAAAAGAAGAGGAGGAGGAGGAGGAGGAGGAGGAGGGGGAGGGGGAGGAGGGAGGAGGAGGAGGAGGAGGAGGAGGAGGAGGAGGACCATTCATGTCATGTACGGTTGTATGGTTGTATCCTCCTCCCTTACTTGCACCGCCGCGGACTCGGTACCTCTGCCCCCTGGGGCCACCATGCTTTTCTTATCTTGCCGCACTCCTTCACCTGCACCAGTCCGTGGCCTAATTTGCTTCGCTCGCTTCGCTAGGTCGGTCGACATTCTTGCATTTCCGAACGCTACAGCCCAGCAGCTGAATTTATCCAGCGCAAAGACGGATGAAAATCAGTGTGAACCCAAGACGCATCAACGATTTTGCGATGAACCTTCCAAGTTCTCCCTTCATAGGTCTCCAAACCGGTTTTTTCCCTACCATCCTGTGGTGTTGGGTCCTCGTTTTGAAGAGATTGCGCCCCGCGTCCCACCTCCTTCCTCCCTCCTCCTCCTCCTTCCCCTCTTCACTCCTCTCCTCCTCCCCCTCCTCCCTCCTCCCCCTCCTTGCCTTTGCTCTCGGCACACCTCTCACACGTTTCGTAGCCCCATCGGGAGCTCCACCGAAGGCCCCAGCGGGGGTGTTCGCATGGGGTTCCCCCACCCAGGGCAGCGTTTCGTGGCCCCATAGGGAGCTCCACCGAAGGCCCCACTGGGGGTGTTCGCATGCGGTTCCCCCACCCAGGACAGCGTTTCGTGGCCCCGTAGGGGTCTCCACCGAAGGCCCCAGTGGGGGTGTTCGCATGCGGTTCCCCCACCCAGGACAGCGTTTCGTAGCCCCATGGTGAGCCCCGCCGAAGGCCCCAGTGGGGGTGTTCGCATGCGGTCCCCCCGCCCAGGGCAGCGCTTCGTGGCCCCATGGGGAGCTCCACCGAAGGCCCCACTGGCGGTGTTCGCATGCGGTTCCCCCACCCAGGGCAGCGTTTCGTGGCCCCATCGGGAGGTCCACCGAAGGCCCCAGTGGGGGGGGTCGCATGCGGTTCCCCCGCCCAGGACAGCGCTTCGTGGCCCTATAGGGAGCTCCACCGAAGGCCCCAGTGGCGCAGTTCGCATACGGTTCCCCGACCCAGGGCAGCGCTTCGTGGCCCCATAGGGAGCTCCACCGAAGGCCCCAGTGGCGCAGTTCGCATGCGGTTCCCCCGGCCAGGGCAGCGTTTCGTGGCCCCATAGGGAGCTCCACCGAAGGCCCCAGTGGCGCAGTTCGCATGCGGTCCCCGTACCCAGGGCAGCGTTTCGTGGCCCCATAGGGAGCTCCACCGAAGGCGCCAGTGGCGCAGTTCGCATGCGGTTCCCCCGCCCAGGGCAGCGTTTCGTGGCCCCATAGGGAGCTCCACCGAAGGCCCCAATGGCGCAGTTCGCATGCGGTTCCCCCGGCCAGGGCAGCGTTTCGTTGCCCCATAGGGAGCTCCACCGAAGGCCCCCGTGGCGCAGTTCGCATGCGGTTCCCCCACCCAGGGCAGCGTTTCGTGGCCCCATAGGGAGCTCCACCGAAGGCCTCAGTGGCGCAGTTCGCATGCGGTTCCCCCGCCCAGGGCAGCGTTTCGTGGCCCCATAAGGAGCTCCACCGAAGGCCCGCCCCAGTGGCGCAGTTCGCATGCAGTTCCCCCACCCAGGGCAGCGTTTCGTGGCCCCATAGGGAAGGGAGCTCCACCGAAAGCGGCACCCACAACGCGTTAGGAACAATTGCTTATGGTTGGGTCCTTCGTCAGGATAATTTGCGAAGGCCGTCTGGCCGGTGCCGCCGACGTTGGAAGAAGACCCCCATGATGAAGCTGACAGCCGGAGTTGTTTGGGAAGGTTTGGTCCAAACGCCCCGAAGAGTTTCCCTGAAGCCCATGAGGTTTTCATGAAGCGTATGACGAGGAACACATTTTGGCCAAGCCGCTGGGGGAGGGAAAAGGGGGGGAATCAGGAGCGGGAGGAGGAGGCGGAGGAGGAGGAGGAGGAGGAGGAGGAGGAGGAGGAGGAGGAGGAGGAGGATGGAGAGGAGGACTCGGAGGAGGAGGAGGAGGAGGAGGAGGAGGAGGAGGAGGAGTGGAACCAGTGTAAACCCAAGAGTCATCAACGGTGTTGGAATAAACCCTCCCTCCGAGCTCCTTCTTGATAGGCTCCTACAACAGTTCATTTCCATTGAGGGAACTGCCTCGTTTGATGACAACCGTTCGAAGTCCCTGAAGCATGCCGAAACATTGTTCTCGGGATTCCAATGCCACGGATCAACCTGACTGTTGCGTTTTGACGATCCAGAATCGTGCCAGAAGGCCGTTCTTGGGACGTCAACACCGCGAGTGAACCTAATTGTTGCACCCTCATTATCTTGAGTCCTTCCAGAACGTCGTTTCTGGTACTTTGACCATGGTAATCCGTGAAACTCTTACGAATGTGTGGAGCGAGTCTGCGCGGCGCTAAGGCGGGAACCACATTTTGAAAAGGACCCGCCCTCAATCGTGAAGCTCTTACAAATGTCTGAAACGAATGCGCGCGGCGCTAAGACGGGAACCGCATTCTGAATAGGAACCGCCCTCAATTCGTGAAACTCTTGCAAATCTTGAAAACGAATGTGCGCGGCGCTAGGGCGAGAGCCATATTTTGAAAACGGGGTTCTTCAATTGGTGAAATTCCGGCACATTTTTAAGACGAGTGTGCGCGGCGCTAAGGCGAGAACCACATTTTGAAAACGACCCGCCCTCAATCCGTGAAATTCTTGCATTGTTTAGATCGAACGTGCGCGGCGCTAATGCGAGAACCACATTGTGAAGGCTTCCCGCCTTCCACATGTGAAACTGTTGCGAAGTTTGAAGCTTCAGGGTCATAAATGGTGAGGAAATCTCAGGCGAAACGCCCAGCCCGCCCTAAAATTGGCCTCGTGGTGCGACAGAAGTTCTTTCTAAGGAAAAGGAATGGAGCAGGAGGAGGAGAACGTGGAGGATGAGGCGGAGGAGGAGGAGGAGGAGGAGGAGGAGGAGGAGGAGGAGGAGGAGGAGGAGGCGGAGAGAGAGGAGGAGGAGGAGGAGGAGGAGGCGGAGAGAGAGGAGGAGGAGGAGGAGGAGGAGGAGGAGGAGACCTCTTGGGAGCCTTTTCGGGGCTCTGGGAGCCTCCTCAGGCTTCATGGCGGCTTCTTGCCGCCAACCGGGGCCGCTTTTGGAGGTATGTTGAGGCCATTTTAGGTCAGATGGGGTCATCTTCGCCGTCATTGAGGGTATCTTGGATCGTCTTGGCGGCAATGCAGCGCCATCCTGACCATCTGGGAGTCAAGTCTGGTCGTCTCTTGGAGAAGCTCTCTTGGGGCGTTCGGGCGATTTCAGGCCCTTCTTGGATTAGGTGGCCCACGGCCCGTCCCGCCACCGTCCCTTGGCATGAGATTGTTGAGGGCCTTCTGCGAACCCCCTCGGAGCTCTCTCTTCAGGCTCTCTTGGAAGCTTCTCGGAGCTCTCTCGGGCTCTCTGAGAATCCCAAAAGGCTGGAAGAGGGGCCCCAAAGGACACCAAGAGACTCTCAAAAAGGCCCCAGATGGCCGCCCCACGAGGGCTCCCGAAACAGCCCGCAACGGTGTCGTACCAAAGGCTCCTGGTTTGATACTGTTGCGGACTCGCTTGGGATTCTGTGGGGGCCCTCTGGGGGACTCTCTTGTGGCGTTAGGGCGATTTTAGGCCCTTCGTGGATTATGTAGTGGCCTGCGGCCCATCCCGCCAGCGTGCCTGCGTAGTGTGCCAGAATCCTCATGGATACTTCTTGGGATCTATTCGGGGGGCTGTCGGGGGCCTCTGGAAGCAGGTTGGAGGCCGCTTGGGAGCCTCTTGGGATCCTCTTGGAGCGTCTTCGGGCTCCCTGGGGGCCTCTTGTGAGTCTCTGGGGGCCTCTTAGCTGCCTCTTGGAAGCCTCTTGGGGCCCCCTGGGAGCCTCTTGGGGCGGTGAGCTTGAAAGGTCGGTTCGTGGGCCCCTCTTGGGGCGTTCTCGGGGCCGTCTTGGTCCGTCTTGGAGGCCTCTTGGACCGTCTTGGAGGCCTTTGGGACCGTCTCGGTGCCCTTTTGACGGCCTCGTCGGCCGTCTTTGGGTGATCTTTGGGGCCTCCTGGGCCGTCTTGGAGCGTCGGGAAGCCGAAAAGGCATAATGCTACAATTTGTCAAGAACCAGTGGAAATTCAATGCGTTTTGCCTCTCGGGGCCCTCTTGGGTGTGCTCTTGGGGGCCTCTTGGGGCGTTTTGGAGGCGTCTGGAGGCTATCTTGGGCGTCTTGGAGCAATCTTTCGGCGACTCTGGGTCCTCTTGGGCCCCTCTCGGATTATCTTGGACCTAATCTGCCGAAGGAGGGCCAAAATCGCTCGAAGGCGGCCCGAAAGGGGAAGGGAAGGACCGTATTCTCCTCCTTCCCGAGACACCCCCCCGTGATGGGGAGGGTTCAAAGGGAAGGGGCTGCTTCCCTTCGAATTACGACTTCGATTGCGACCTGGCTCGACTCACCTCGAGCGTATTTCTTTGTTGCTTGGGGCATAATGGGCATGATAGCCCCCGACAGCGTAACGCCCCTCCCCCCCCAGTGCGCTCCGGGCACTGCCGCCGTGCGCATCGAGCACACGGCGGTGGAGGGGGGCGTTACGTTATACCTTCCCCTCTGGCCCCCTCCCCTCCCCTGTAACCCTATAATGCCCATTATCGCCGAAGCTATATAATCGCGCTCCTCGAGCTGACGAGCTTGGGGCGCCAAGGAGGGTCTCGGGAGAGTCTCTGGGACTGGAAGAACAAATCGACTGACAGATCGTCTCTCAGGAACACCCGGTGACGGCGGACCCAGAACTCCCCCTCACCCGCGCCGACAGGGTCGGCGGATTTTCATTGCCGTGCCGCTCGCAGGGAGGCGAAGCGCCTTGGCCACACACACACACACTCTGGCAGAGGGCTCAGCTATCACTAATGCGTGAAAGTGTATAGGCTTCGCGCGTACAGTGGGGGCGCGCATCAAGAAATCATCTGCGTTTCGTCAAGGTGCCCTGGGTTTCTTCGCTCCGCGCGCTGCGCGGTGACTTCCCGCAACCGTTGAAAAGCTGCTGCGTTCAGGATGCTCAGGTCTTCACCTCGCGCGCGGGTTTTCAGGGTTGGGTTTCATGCGGAGGTTTCTTGCGGCCGCGCCGGCACTGTGTGTGATGCACAAGATAGACCCTTGAGACCCCCCCTGGGTAGCCTTGCAGAATCAAATGCGGCAAGTGGTCCATTACAAGACAACCGTCTGGTAATCTTCGATCGTGCCAGAATGACGTTCCCGGGAGTCCAGCGCTGCGGATAAACGTGACGGTGGCGTCCTGACAATCTTAAGCTCCGAAACTGTTCCAGAACACCATTCCTGGGACTCCACCGCAAATCAGCGTGATTGTACCGTCCAGGCAATCCTAAACCGTGCCAGGACGCCATTCCTGGAACTTCGCCAATCGAACCCTTGAACCTGTTGCAAACTTTAAAGACGATTGTGCGTAGCGCTGAGGCGAGAGCAACAATTTGGAAAGGAGCCGCCCTCCATCTTTTGAGCTGTTTCAAGCTTTAATGACGAATGTGTACGGCGCTTCTGCGAGAGCGACATTTTGAAAATCACCCACCGTCCATCCGTGAAACTGCTTCGAACTTTTCAGACGAATGTGCGCGGCGCTAAGACGAGAGCCCTCCTTCCATGAAACGTTGCAATCTTTTAGGCGAATGTGTACGGCGCTTTTGCGAGAGCCACATATTGAAAGTCACCCGCCCTCCATCCGTAATTTTGTTGCAAACTTTTGAGACGAACCTGCGCGGTGCGAAGGCGATAATCACATCTTGAAAAAGACTTGCCCTCCATCCGGGAAACATTGGCGCGAATTTCAAGCCTCAGGATTTCAAATGGCGAGAACATCTCAGGTGAAACGCCCGGCCTGCCCTACGGACACGTCTGGGGGTGCGACAAGGAGGAGCTGTTTTTAGGAAGAGGGGTGGAGGAGGAGGAGGAGGAGGAACGAGGAGGAGAAAGAGGGTGGGATGATACGGTCGGGAGCTCTTGCTCAGCGTGTCGCGGCGGCGGCCCTGGCGTCGCTCCACGCCCTGCGAGCGGACCGCGTGCCGCTCCGCACCGCGGGTGCCGAGAGGCCTGGAAAGGCCCGGGACGTGGAAGCCTGGGGCCCGGGAAGCGGTTGGCGCGTCGGCGGGGCGCGGTGGCCAGCGAGCCGGCGCTGCGGCACGCGAAGCAGAAGCTTCTCACCGTACGCAAGATTCGGACGGACTTCTTCCGCAGAGTTCCAGAGTCTCCCCGCAGCGGCGGTGCTCAGATGGCCTGGTCGGCGCTTCTGGCTTCCCGTGTGCCGCGCCCGCGCGTTCCCTCCCTTGTCTGGCCTTGTGCGTGTGCGTGTGTGTGTGTGTCCAAGCGGATGAGAAAATCCTTCCCTCCTGGTCCTGACTCGCCTCCTCGTCCTCGTCTCGTTCCAGCGCCCCCCGACCGTTGCCCACCAGTAACCCCCCGTTCTCAGGGGACTTCACCTCCGTGCTCTACTCCGTGATCGAGGCGCGCAACACAGTTCAGGCGAGGACGCCGCCCTGGGCCTTTCTCCCCGGGCTTGGTGGTGCCTATTGCGCTTCTTGCTGCCACCGCTGCCCGCTGCCGCCCCCTTCCTTGGGGCCCCCGATCGTTTCGTCCCCGTCTCCCTTCCCCGCTTTTCCTTCCGCACTCCTCCTCCTTTCCTCCCTCCTCCTTGCTCACTGGCTGTGCCAGCGTATTAGCTCGCGGTGGGCCAGATGTCCCGAGGGGAAACTATGGTTCGTCCTCGCAGAAGAGTGCGCTCTGATTCGAGATCGCTTCTCGTTCCTGCATTCTTGCTGGCAGGGACGGCTAGAAAGGGCCAGAGCACCTGAAATGGCGTGTGTGCGTTTTCGTAGGAGGCGCACGGTGCAGCTCGGCAGGCCAACTGGGCGTGCATCCGAAGAACACTGCCCTTGCCCCGCTCGCCTGGATGGGCCGCGGCGAGGGTCGAGGGAGACCGAGTCCTCCTCCTCCTCCTCCTCATCCTCCTGCCCCTCCTCCTCCTCCTCCTCCTCCTGCTCCTCCTCCTCCTCCTCCTTCTCCTCTTCCTCCTCCTCCTCCTCCTCCTCCTCCTCCTCCTCACGAGTCGAGTCAAGGCGTGATTGCACCACCTGCATCGCCTCTCCCTGCGACCCAATCGTCCCTCTGTCCGTCCGTGTGCCTCTCTCAGTGCTCTGGTCGGTGGCGGAGTCATGGCGGCCTCCCGATGGCTGACGGATCCTCCAGGACGAAAGGTGCAGCCACCGCATTACGTACGTAGTCACACGTGGTTTCGAATCAGCCTCATTACGCCAGATCATGCAGGCCTGGTTTGGTAACGTTTGCCTCACTACCTGCGAGCGCACGTGCATGTACGATAGCAGGCTCAATCACATGTGTCAACTGAGCAGGTGCCTGGCGAAGCATCGTTGTGGCCACGGATATCGAAGACGCCTACGGCGAATCACCGCCGCCCCCTGCCTTTTTGGAAGCGCCTATGTGGCCGAAGGTTGTGGCCTGAGGCCTGCCAAGCTATCGGATCATGTGTTCCCCGAATCGGTTTGGAAAGCCTTCGGGGAACATGTGGGCATCTTGAAGGTCATCTTGGCCGTCTGGAGGCCATTCTGACCCTTCGGGCCTTCTTGGAGGGCGTCTTGGAGGGCTCTTGGGCCGTGTTGGAGGCTATCTTGAGCGTCTTGGAGACCTCTTGGGCCGTCTTAGGGGCCTCTTGGGGCCGTGTCTTGGGCCTCTTGGGCGATCTTTGTGGGCACTTGGGCCGTCTCGGGCCGTCGGAAGGCAGAAAAAAAACAACTGCCACAATCCTTCAAAAACCCATGACAAATCAATGATTTTGGCCTTTTCGGGCCTTCCTGGAGGCCCTCTTGGAGGCCTCTTGGGCCGTCTTGGGCCATCTTAGGGCCATGCTCGGCCGTCTTGGTGGGCTCCTGGTCCGTCTGACGCCGTCGGAAGCCGTTTGGGGGGCCTCAATGGGCCGACTTGGGAGCATTCCAAGAGTCTTGGAATGCTCCAGGGCCGTCTTGGAGGCCATCTTGGGCGTCTTAAAGGCCTCCTGTGCTGTCTTGGGGGCCTCTTGGGGCTGTCTTGGGTCCCTCTTGGGCCGTTCTGGGGCCATCTTGGAGCCTCTTGGGCGATCTTTCGGCGATCTTTGGGGCTCTTGGGCCGTCTCGGGCCGTCGAAAGGCCGAAAAGAAGCAAATGTCAAAATCCGTCAAAAACCTTAGGAAAATCAATGTGTTGGGCCTCTTCTGGCCTTCCTGGAGGCCTTCTTGGGGGCCTCTTGGGCCGTGTTGGGCCAGTTGTGAGCCAACTTCGGCCATCTTGGTGGGTTCCTGGCGCGTCTGACGCCGTCGGGAGCCGTCTTGGGGGCCTTTCTGGGCCGACTTGGGGCCCTCTTGGGGCGCTTCGGGGCCGTCTTGGGATGCCATCTTGGGCGTCTTGGAGGCCCTCTTGGGCGTGTTGGAGGCCTCTTGGGCCGTCTTGGTACCCTCTTGGGGCCGTCTTGGAGGCCACTTGGGCCGTCATGGGGCCCTCTTGGGGGCCCCTTGGGCGATCTTGGAGGCCTCTTGGGCCGTCTTGAGCCGTCGGAATGCCGAGAAGCAGCAGATCCCCAAATCCTTCAAAAACCTAAGGAAAGTCAATGATTTTGGCCTCTTCGGGCCCTCCTGGAGGACCTCTTGGAGGCCTCTTGGGACGTCTTGGAGGCCTCTGGGGGGCCTCTTGGGCCGTCTTGGGCCGTTTTGGACTCTCTGGGGCCGTCTTAGAGGCTGTCTTGGACCATCTTGGGCGGACTTGGAGGCTATCTTAGACCATCTTGGAGGCCATCTTGGGCCAATGTGGCCATCTTGGACGCCATCTTGAGCCGTCTTGGAGGATTTTTTCCGGACGTTGGGGTCCTGGGCAATCCTCCCCGGACCCCGGCGGGACGGGCCGAAGCGCCAGGGGAAGTTCTTCTGGAAAAAGAACCAAAACCGAGAGGTCTAGCACGCCAGGCACCCCTGCGATGAATCGACAGGGGGCGGCGGATCAATTGGCTTTCGGCCCATCCTGCCACCGTGCCTGTGTCGTGGACCAGTGGCCTCTCAGAGGCCTCTAGGGGTCTCTTGGGGGGCCTCTTGGGGGCCCTTGGGAGCCTCTTCCGGGCCTCTTGGGGCCTAGCGGGAGCGTTTTGGGGGCCTGTTGGCGGTTCCGAGGGTCACCTTGGGGAGACGGGCTCGAAATGACAGTTCATATTCCCTCTCTTGGGCTCCTTTTGGGGCCGTCTTGGAGCCTCGGGGGCCGTCTTGGGATGAGATTGGGGGCATCTCGGGTCGCCTTGGGCAATGACTTTGGCCTCTTGGGCCGGTCTTTCAGGGTCTCTGAGACGGCCAGAGAGGCACCCAAGAGGGCTCCAGGACAGCGCCTTGGGGCGACTAGGGCATGTTGGTCGGTAGGAGTCAGAACCACGCTCCCCAGCCCTCTTGAAAAGTCATGCGAGATGCCCCAAGGGCGCGCGAGGGCGCTCAGGCGTGACCGAGAATTCTGAGCGTCTGGGGTCTAGGGACCTGCAAAAAGTATTCATAGTCATCCGTGCAGTGAGCTCGAATGGACCTGAGGACACTCCGCTCAGTGCCGCGCGGCACGGTGGCGGAGAATGAGCATGCAGTGTTGCACCATCCTGTAGCGGAATTGAAGCGCGCGAGAGCACATGTCAACATATTTCTTACACGGTAATTCTGCCTCCCTCATTCCCTCGCCTCCCCGCTCCCGCTGCTTCCCCGTGCTCCACTCCCCATCCATTCTCCGTACCCCCCTTTCCCCTGCCTCTCCTGCATCCTCTGCCCCCCCTGCCTCCCCTGCCTCCCTGTTCCTCCCCGCCTCCCTTCCCCTCTCCTTGCGCTCCCTCCCTCCCGCCCTCCCGTCAAACGATGAGAGAACATGCATTCTTCGAGTGGAGCGAAGGAGTGAGGGAGGGTGCGTAATGAGAACAGTACCAGTAATAATGGTAAGAGGCGTCTTCCAGAGTTCGATCCCTCCCTCCTCTTGGCTCTTGGGTTGGGGGTCGGAGCGGCTGAGGTTGTCGCCAGCGCCCGTGCCCTTGCGAGGCTGGCACCTCTGCCCTGACGATCGGCGACGTGAACGCCGCGCTGGACCGAATCCACGACGCCGGCGAGACCACGGAGAAGCGCGCGCAGCTGATGGAGCGGAGGGGGCAAATCTCAGACATCGGGCGGATCGATGTTTCGTCCCTGGTATTTTTTCGCAGCGTCGGCCTCCAGGGGCTGTCTGCGGGCCCCGAGAGCATCAACAAGGGGCCCAGGACGAAGAGCGATCCCCAGGGGAGTCGGGACCTCTGGAGCTCATGACGCGGAGGGGCGACACTCGGATAGTCAACACAACGTTGGCATTCGCTTTCGGAGGTTCGCGCGGATTTCTTGGGGTCGGTGGGCCCCGCCTGGCGGCGCCTTCCAGCGCCGACCCGAGAACTCGGCGAGGACCTCCGACGGTGGCTGCCAGTGCAGCATTCGCCTCTCCTGGGAGCCGATTGGGGGCGAGACGCCTCTCCCCCCCCCCCCACACACCCTCCTCCTCCTCCCTCCTCCTCCTCCTCCTCCTCTGCTGCTGCTGCTGCTGCTGCCTCCTCCTCCGCCTCCGCCTCCTCCTCCTCCTCCTCCTCCTCCTCCTCCTCCTCCTCCTCCTCCTCCTCCTGCTCTCCTCCTGCTGCTGCGCACTGGCCATTGGGAATCCCCGTGGCGTCCCTTCCTACCTCCCTACCTCCCCGGCGGCCGCCCTCCGGATGAAGATGCCTTCCACGAAGTAGCCGCCCTCCGGATGAAGCTGCCCTCCACGAGGCGGCTGCCTGCTCGGCTCATCGGCCGCCTCTAGCGCCGCCAGGGGCCTCTGCCCATAGGCGCTCGCTGCTCTTCATCCTCGGCTGTCGCCGCCTCGGCGTCCAGCCCAGAATCGTCCATCTCGGAGTCGCCCGGCTCAGAGCTGGAGTGCAGATCGAAAGCGTCCAGCTCTGAATCCGCGTCGCTCCCGCGCTCCTCGCCCTCGTCGGCGCTCCCAGCAGGGTCTCCGTGGTGAAGGCGTGCCAGGCGCGACGCCTCGTAGCCGCAGGTGTCGATGTCGGAGTCGCTGTCGGGGTCGCTTGCCGTTGCCGTGGCCGCCTTGCGCAGCCTCGTCGGCGTGATATCGCGCCCTGCTGCCCTCAGCCACCAGGCGGGGGCGCCGGGCGACCACCATGGCCGCGACCCCCAGGGTCGCTTCTGCCTGGGGTGTGGGCCGGTCATGGCACGCGGCCGCCTCCACGGCTGCAGCGCGACGCTCGGGCTCAGCCTGGCGCCCGGCCGCAGCAGCGGCGGGGACGAAGACGGCCGCTTCCGCGCGGAGCCCGGACGGCGCGCTGCCACCGGTCGCCCCGTCGGCGGCGTCCCCGGCTGCAGACAGTCGCATCACTGCCCGCTGCCACTGCCGTCTCTTCTCGCACACTTGCTTCCCAGCCTGCCGCTGACGGCGTCTGGACTTCCGTCCTGGCACCACTGCCCGCGGCCGCCTTCTCTTCTCGCACGGGTCTCGCGCCACTGTCCGTGACTGATGCCCTGCCAGCCCCTGGGCCTGCCGCGGCGCCGTCTGGCGTCTGCGGGGGCTCCCGATGGGATAGGTCCCCCGGCTTCTCTCGCACGCGCGGCGCCGCGCGTGTAGCTGGTAGGGTAGGGCATCCAACTCGCTCTTCTTGGACGGCTTCCGCTGGTGGTCTGGCGGCAATGGACTGTTTCCTCTGTTTCTCGCTTTGCGCACGCTCTGGTTCTGCAATCGCTTCTCGCGCGCTCGAGTTCTGGCTTGTGTCATCATCCTTCCGCTCCTCTGTCTGCTGCCGTGGCCGCCATCTGCCGTCGACGAAGCTCCAGGCCATCGACGAAGACTTCTCGCAGATTGCCGCGGTCGCCAGCTTTTCTCTCGGCCCTGCAGTTGCTGGCGTCTGGACTCCCATCCTCGCACCACTGCCCGCTGCCACTGCCTTCTCTTGCAAATGTGCGTCCCAGCCTCTAGCCGTTGACGCCTGGGCTCCCGTCCTCGCGCCGCTTCCCGCTGCCTCTGCCGCCTCTTTTCGGAAGCGGGTGCCCCAGCCTGTAGCTGATGGCGTCTGGAATCCCGTCCTAGCGCACTGCCCGCGGCCGCTGCTTCTTCTCGCAGGCGCGTGCCCCCGCCTGTAGCCGATGACGTCTGGAGCCTCGTACTCGCACCACAGTCCGCTGCCACTGCCTCCGCTCGCACGAATCTGCCTCAATCTGTTGCTGATGACGTTGGGGCTTCCATGCTCAAGTCCATGTCCGCTGCCACTGCCGCCTCATCTCGCACACGGATGTCGCAGCCTGGACAGGGTGACGTCCGAAGCCTCAGCAGAACACCACTGCCCGCTGTCACTGCCAGCTCTTCTCGCACACGGGCGTCCCAGCCTGCAACGGGTGGCGTCCGAAGCCCCAGCATAGCAGCATTGCCCGCTGCCACTGCCGTCTCCTCTCGCACATGTGTGTCCCGACCTACAGCTGGTGACATCTGGACTCCGACCCTCGTACCATTATCCGTTACGGTTGCTTCTTCACGCACGTCCCGGCTTGTAGCTGATGACGTTGGGACCCTTATCCCCGCACCACTGCCTGCAGACACCGTCTCTTCTCGCACGGCTGTGCCCCAGCACGCAACTGATGAAGCCAGGGCTCCCGTCCTCGTACCAGTGTTCGCTGCCACTGCAGTCTCTTCTCGCGCACGGAAGCCCCGGCCTGCAGCTGATGCCGTGTGGGCCCCCATCTTGGCGCCGCTGCCCGCGTCCACTGTCTCTTCTCGCAGAAGTGCGCCCCAGCCCGGAGCTGATGACGTTCAGGAGGGGAAGAAACACACAGACACAATTAATCGTCGATCCCCAGGAAAATATGGGAAACTACGGGAAGTGGGGGGGAAGACAAAGACCCAGAAAATAGGGGAAACTATAGGGCATATTTTTATGTGTGTGTGTTTATTTGTGTGTCCTGGGGCCCCTTCAGACGTCTGAGCTCCAGTCCTCGCACCACTGCCCGCGGTTGCTGCCCCTCCTCGCGCGCAGGGGTCCCCGCCTGTAGCCGACGAAGCCTCCTCGGGCCGTGCCCCGCCACTACTCCTCCTCCACCTCCTCCTCCTCCTCCACCTCCTCCTCCTCCTCCTCCTCCTCCTCCTCCTCCTCCTCCTCCTCCTCCTCCTCTCTCGTCGCACGAGCGTGCCCCAGTCTGCAGCGGATGATGGCTGGACCCCCTGGCCCGGCACCACCACCCTCTGCCTCTGCGACGTCTCGCTTCGCGCACGCAGTGGGCTTGGACTTGGACCGCAGACTCAACTGTTTCTCGCTTTTCGTGCGCTCTCCGGTTCTGCCATCGCTTCTCGCGCGCTCTGGTTCTGGCTTGCGTCTTCGACCTTCGCTTTTCTGGTGCCGCGTCGCTTCTGTCAGCTGCCGAGGTGTCTTGTTTGAGCCGAGATGTTTGCCTGCTGCCCTCGCACCACTTGGTGTAAGTGACGATGTCCGGAAGCTGCCATGGTCCCAGGGTCATCGCAATTTCGGTCTGAGGCTGGAAAGGCCTCCAGCGGGGTCGGCACACGACCAAGCTGCATTGGAACGTATGGCGGGGCATCTTTTCGCAAAACAGAATCGGCGGGCTTCTGCAAATGTACCAGCATGGCATCTGCAACCATATTTTCCACATCCGCACGTATGTGTGGCGCACGGGGCCCATCGTGGAGAGTGATAGCTATGCCTCTCCAGTCTCGAAGGGTGATGTGCTTGCCGTTTCTGGTCGCGTAAGATACACGGCGAACCGCCTTATCGAGCGGTCTCGACGCTGCCATTCCCTGGCGTCGGCTGCTCATGCTCTCGTTCCGCCATTGTTCTCGGTGGCGCGGCTGGTCGTGGCGGAGACCTGCGCGCATGGGGTTGGCCAGTACAGGGGCCTGCGCTCGCGCTGGGGGGGGGGGCGCTCCCTCGGCCGAAACTCCTCCTCCCCCTCCCACCCCTGCCTCCTCCTCCTCCTCCTCCTCCTCCTCCTCCTCCTCCTCCTTCCTACCTCCTCCTCTCCTCTTCCTCCTCCTCCCCCCTGCCTCCTCCTCCTCCTCCGCCTCCTCCTCCTCCTCCTCGTTCTTTTCTTGTCATCCCCCTCCACCTCCTCCTCTCCTCCTCCTCTCCTCCTCCTCCCCTCCTCCTCCTCCTCCTGCGCTCCTCCTCCTCCCCCTCCTCCTCCCTCCTCCTCCTCCTCCTCCCTCCCTCCGTCCTCCTCCTCCTCCTCCTCCTCCTCCTCCTCCTCCTCCTCACTCCTCCTCCTCCTCTCTCCTCCTCCTCCTCCTCCTCCTCCTCCTCCTCCTCCATGGCCCGTGGGGGTGGCCTGGCCTAGGACTCAGCGGCCTCGCTGCCAGGCTCCGGGGTGCAGGCCATGACGGCGCCCCCCCCCCCCCCCAACCCCACCCCAACACCACACACACACACCCTCCTCCTTCCTCCTCCTCCTCCTCCTCCTCCCTCCTCCTCCTCCTCCTCCTCCTCCTCCTCCTCCTGCTTCTCCTCCTCCTCCTCCTCCTCCTCCTCCTCCTCCTCCTCCACCCCGCTGGGATAACCGTGGGGGTTGCGAAGTGGATGGGGGGGTTACAAGCGGATGCCAAGGTTAAGTCGGGCCTGGCCCTCTACAGGAGGAATATTAAAGATAGTAGTCCAAAAACCCGTCTGGGGACGATTTTTTAAAGTATGGAGGAATATTAAAGATAGTAGTCCAAAAACCCGTCTGGGGACGATTTTTTAAAGTATGGTTCGAATAGTTTTGGAGTATTTTTTGGTATTTTCCATTTTTCGCCCAAAATCCCCCTGTCGGGGGACAGGCCCGACCTAATACTAGAGTGGGTTGTACCTGGCCCAGCCTGGCGTGTAAGTGGGTTACACCTTCCCCGAGGGGCTCAGGGGGGTTAGATAATCCGCCCACTTGGCCCGGATCGTGAACCCCCCTGAGCTACTCGGGGGCTGTTGTAGCCCACTTATGAGCCAGGGTGGGCCAGCTATAGCCCACCTTGGCATCGGCTTTTGGCCCTCTCTATCCACTTAGAGCCCGTTTCTTTATTGCTTGGGGCATGACGGGCGTCATGGCCCCCCGGCCCCCCCCCTCCCCCTCATGACGTAACGCTCCCCCCAAGTGCGTTCTGGGCCTCGCCGCCGATGCTAATAGCAACCCCAGCGGCGATCCCAGCAGCCCAGGGCCCGTGGTGGGCGCGGCCCGCGGCCGCGCTGCCGGGCTCCGGGCCCCCGCCCCGGAGACGCCCGTCTCGCCTCGCCTCGTGTGGACTTGCGTCCCGTGAGCGGGGCTCGCCCCCCGCGCGCACCCCTCCCTGCGCGCGAGCCACCCCGGGGTGCGAGCGGCGCACGCGCCCCAGAGGCTGCAGGCCACGGTCCGTGCTGCCGCTGCCCCACCCTCGAAGAAGAACAGAAGCGACGCAAACATAAAGTGAAATCGGGCATGTCCTCCAACTGGTCGAAAAATAGTATGGGGACAATTTTCCAATTATTTGTGATTATTTTGAAGTATTTTTTGGGTATTAAGAACTTTTCGTCCAAGATCCGCCTTTAGGAGGACATGCCCGACCTAAACAGAAACTTTTGGCGCTCCGCGCAGATTGCTTGCATCCGCTCTGGGCCCCCCCGGCGGCGCCCCCGGCGCGCGGAGCGCGCCAGGGAGGGGGGTCCAGCGCAGGTGCAAGAAGTCCGCGCGAAGTGCCAAAGGTTTCTGTTTGTGCCGTTGTTTCTTCTTCTGCGCCCGCTGCTCGTCGCTGCCGCAGAGTCGCTGGCCCCAGCGCACTCCAGGTGAAGCCTTGCCTCCTGCGTCGCCCCGAGCATCGCCCCCCCGCGCCCCGCTCGCCCAGGGCGCCCCGGCAGTGGCACGGAGGACGCGGAGCCGGAGGCACGGCCTCGAGGAGGCCCAGTCGGGTTGGTCGCCAGGGCCTCCAGGCCGCGGGGGCCCCCCGCGGGGCCTCCCGCGGGGCTCGGAGGGGGGGCCGCGCGGAGGCATTCAGGGGTGCTTCCGGGCGTGGCAGCAGGCAGGACCCAGTCCCCCGCCCCCGCGCGGCCCGAGGGCCTTCCAGGCCCCCCCAGGAGACTTCCCTGGAGGCTCCGAGGAGTTTCAGGGGAGCTCCCGCGGGCCTCCAGGGGCACTCGAGACGGCCCGCAGCGGCGTTCGGAAGGCGCCAGGACTGCCCAACAAGAGGGCCCCCTCCCCCCCCTCCCCGCTCTCCCGCTCCCTCCCCCTTCCCACCTTCTCCGCTCCCCCTCTCTTCCCTCCCACACCTTCCTCTCCCCTCTCCCGTGTCGGGTTTTGGGGGGCCGTAGGAGCTCGTCAGGCGCGCCTCTGGCATGGAGCAGAAGTGGATCGTGAAGATCCTCCTGAAGGACCTCAAGGTCTGCCCTCCATCTTTCTCCACTCCCTCCTCCTCCTCCTCCTCCTCCTCCTCCTCCTCCTCCTCCTTCTCCTCCTCCTGCCTCCCCTCCTCCTCCTCCTCCTCCTCCTCCTCCTCCTCCTCCTCTCTGCTCGCTTCTCCTCTCTGCTCGCTTCTCCTGCCTCCCTCTCCCTCCGCAGCACTGTCCCTCCTGCCTGTCACCTCCTCCCTGCTCGCTCGCTCCTCCCTCCTGCTCGCGCCTTCCTTCGTGCTTCTCGTCCGCCTCGTCGTCGTCACTGTCGTCGTCCGTCCTTCTCCCATGCCTGCTCGTCTGCCTCTCCTACGGTGGGCTCATGCGGCGATGGCGCTCTGGCGACACCAGCGAAGGCGTTCCAGGTTGAACTCCGCATGATAGAACGACGCGGAAGCACCAAGGGACACGGTAAAACTACAGGGCCCGACGGAATTCAATCTTGAACGATCGGGGTCACGATCGGTTCAATGTTGAACGATCGACGCGGTGCCAAACACCTTTGCGCGCGCCGACGCTGCACGAACCTACCGTGAGGCCCGAGGCAGCGCCACGGCGCCGAGGGGGAGGCTTTCATCCCGAGATGGGGGCGAGAACCCGCAGGAGGAGGCGGAGGAGGAGGAGGCGGAGGAGGAGGAGGAGGAAGAGGATGATGATGATGATGATGATGATGATGATGATGATGATGATGATGATGATGATGATGATGATGATGAT